GTAAGTTTCATTTGGTCGTGTTCATATGACCATTTCTATTTCTGGTCCCGTTCCTTTGACCATTTAACTTTTATTATGTGATTGTGTTGATATGCGTGTAATTGTCTCTATTTCACGTTCCCAGAAAAATTGCTCAAAACATCTCTGAAGGAACATGGGAGGAAATTACTGGCAAAGACTTGCAGGTAAAATTGATTCTATTAGAGTTAGTGTGTTTTAGTGACTGTTAAGTTCATGATTGTTTTGTCTTAATTCAGGGCTTCCCTAGACAACTCTTTGGCTTGGACTGTGGCATCTTCATGATAATGGTGGGCCCTATGATGATTGACCTTGTTAAAACCACATTTGACTAATTCCTATATTTCTGCTCCCAACCCTATCACAAATCTTGAAGTTGTTGTAAAAATATTTTTCTGGTACAGGCTGCCTTTTATGTCACCTTGGATGCAGAATTTGACTACTCTGTGGTAAGTATTTTTAACAGGACACTATTACAACCTGGTTCTTTCATTGTTTACTGACGCTTAACATTTTGAATTTCAGCATGACATGTCAGTCTTGCGGAGGTGGTGGTGTCTGTTGATACTGGAAAACAAATCCCTTGACAGGTATGTAATCTTTTCCACATGGCTATGTCTTGCTTTTTGGTAAAGAGCCTTTACACTTCTATGTTTTCCTTTATTGTAACGGTACATTTTCATTTGCAGCCATGGCCAGGTCTTTGCACATTGGACAGCAGAGTGCCAGGCGATGTTGAAAGGAAATTATGCTCCAGTGTTCAGGCTCAAGAGAAGGCGCAACCAGGAATCTGAGGTTAGCGGTGTGGAAGATTTGATCAATATAGTTTTCACATTGTCTAAATCTGTGATGCACCTCGTCAACAGCTGCGTTAGCTTTATCAATAACTTTGAATTGACTGTGTATTTGAAATAATTTTTTTTACAGATTTGGACACTTGTTTTCTGGAAATATTTAAATGTAAAAGCTTAACTGACAGTTTGTCTATAATGCAGCTATTTCACTTTTCAGGCAGAGGGTCACAGTGCCAAAGTCCGACGTTGCTCAGAGTCTGTGTCATAGTGTCCAGGTTCTGCACCAGCCCCTGTATCGCAGTCATGACAGTGTGTTGCTGAAAAGAACAATTTCCGTGTTTTCCATTCTTCATCACGTGGACAACGGTGGAATGAATAATTTCTAAGGCCTTGTCTGAGATGACATCAAAAAGCCTTTTTTTAAAAAGATTTTTAAATTTAACCCAGGCCACCCGCTTATGAGGAGAGACTCCACACATGGTCCGCCTGCTGTAACCGTTACACTGCG